ATGTCTGTATATAAATTTAGCTCCTACAAGCACCAGCTGCATACCAGGGGTAATTATTCAAAAGACACGTCGCTCTCCATTACTYAAAAGACAAGCAGTACTCAAGTCTGCTTTGTGGTGCATCTTCCTAGAGCAGAAAAGACCGTGCTGTTGCTTATTCCAGTGCCATCACATAAATTACTGGTAGACTAACGATACGTGCCAGCGAGGCGGCCAGTAAATCAGCAGAAAGTTTCAGATGTCGGAAGCCCGTGCGATTTACAGCAGATGACTTTGGAAAGGACAGCTCTGCTGCTAACAGTGGATTTTAGGCTGTTCTTTGCCAGGAAGCTTGACTGTGAGTTTTCTTTTACTTGGTATTATTGATATSAGATGTTCTGTTTCCATGCATGGAGACAACCACAACGTGCTAGCAGCTAAGCAAACTTAGGACTAGCCTGAGTTTGTCCCAATATGAGGCCAAACCTCTTAAGATCTTTTTCAGAAATATCTTCAGAAATATTCCTGTTACTGATTCGAGCAACAGGGCTAAGGAGGGAGGCAGCAGATTGGGTGTTATCTGGCTGTGGCTGAAACCACCAGGCACCGAGCACCTCCATCAGAAGAGCTCTGGTGGCCTCTGCCACGCGGAGAGCAGCTCACAGGACTTCAGTGGGCATCTCTGGGTTATAACTTGCACAGCTGAACTACTGCTGTGCTCCGGGTGCCTTCCAGACTCTCCTCATTTTGCCAGTGAGTCCATTAATTACAGTTTCYTTTCTGCTCATTCCTGTCTGTCCCTTGTTCTCTAGAGCTTCTCAACAAGATCCGAATCTATGATTCAATTTAACCACTTTGATTTTCTCCTTTAATGGACCCATTGGTAAGAGGGYGGCAATATATCAGAGCTCGGAATAAAATGTGGGTTAGTTTAACCAAACCTTTTCTTTTCATTAGAATAATTGTTTGCTGTACTTAGAACATTAACAAGGCTGCTCAGCCTGGAGGGGGAGCAAATTAAATTAGAGGGTATGCAACCTACATTGTGTTTTTATTAGACTCTGAGTCATAACTTATTTTTAATCTTAATTAGAGCTGCAGCTCCTCTAAACAAGCAAAGTGTGTCATAACGATCTGACACATTATCGGGCTGATAGATCTGGAAATCAGGGTCATGATTCAGGATAGAATGGCCTGGGTGAGAAGCCCTGACACTCATAACCAGCAATGAATCTGTGCATCTAGATAAGTCAAGGGCAGAAAAAGCTTTAATTTTTTTTTTTTTTTTTTTTTTAAAAGAGGCTACAGTACCTGGGTAAGGGCAGTAGCTCAAGCTCTGAGTGTTTGAGCGTCGAGCTGGTGCAGTGACGAGGGATCAGTGGCTACAAGCAAGGGCCATGCCAACACTCCAGGTTAGCTTCCAGCTGGAGCGGTGTCGGCTGAGCCAGCCCTGCTGGGCACCCAGCAGCGAGCAGAGCAGAAGGGCTGGTCCACGGTGGTGCCTCCCGGCGGCTGGAAGTGCCCAGCCCTGCCACGTACCTTGCACAGCTTCCTGATGGTCCCACAAATGACACGAAACCTGCAGTGGCCAGCGACAGGAGCTGCACAGAGCTGCTGTCCTCCACCTCACTGCAAGGCTCTCGCTCCTCCAGGTTGTTCCAGTAGCTGGACAAGTAATTTGGACAAATTTGACTGGACAAGTCCATTAATGAACAGAAATAAGCTGAAAATAACTTACGTTTATTTAKTTATTCGTTTCCTAGGGGGTGGCTGCTATACCAGGCTGCCCTAATTGCTCCTTCAGCAGCCCCCATGGTAAGGGCTGAGCCAGAGCCCGGAGGCTCAGCCCTAGAAGTGACAAAACAAAGCAGCAAAAGCCCTGGAATGCACGCTCTGAATGCCAAGCCACTCGAAAGAGAGGATTTCTAATTTGTCTAGATATTTTATATAAAACTAAATTTTAAAAAGTTTCTTTTGCTTTTTTATTTTTTTAATTCTCATTGCTTGTTGGTCATTAGCATAAAGGGAAGAAAAAGGAAGAAATTAGGAAAAAAAAGAATACTAAGGAAAAAAAGCAAGTGTGAAAAAATGTTAAATAATGATAAAAAAAAAGACATGAACAAAGTTTTCCTGAATGCATTAATGAAAATACTTTTTTAAAAATTAATATAATAAAGAAAACCAATTATGATTAGTTTCCATTTTCTATGGCAAATCACTCCAGGTTTTTAATTCTGTTTTTATTCTTTATTCTCCTCCAGCTCCTACTATAATTCAGAGTGCACAGTGCTGTGTTAGCAAAAMAAAAATCAAAAATATTGACTCTCCCTCTTGTTGGTATAGACAAGAAACACAGTGTTCGGACACCTGCAACAATATGACCTCCGTATCACACTCCTAAAAAGCAGGGTCCTTTGCTAAATATGCATAATTTTGGTGCAAACACAGTTCTTTTTCCAAGCTACTGAAGAAGGAGTATTTCACCTGCAGACTGCTGGACGCAGGAAACAAGACAGATGTTGCACTGGATAAATCACAGCTGATAAGCAAATACAAGCGTTAGTTGAGTACTTACGGATTTTGGCACTGCCTTTGAAGTCAAACACAAAGCGCAGCAGAGAAATCTATTTCTGTAATACAGTAGCAACAACAAATATTTAAGACGGATGAGCTGAAGAAGGATTTAGGTGTAAAAAYAGTATGTGTTAAGCATCTCTATGGCAGCCAGTGCAAAGGTGGACGCTCGCAGTGACATTCTCGGCCACGGGCCGTAGCTGAGATGCTGCCGAGCAGCGTCCCGGCCRCAGGCCCTGATGTGGCATTGGGAACCAGGAGCACATGAGGCACAAACCCGGAGAGCGTCTTCCCTTCCCTGCTCATTCCCATGCAAGGTGCTGAGGCTGCAGACTTTATGACTTCCACCTAAACGGGGCTTCGGAGCAAAGGGCTCCCCAGGCTCGAGCATCCGCCGAGGGAGGTGTCAGGACGAGTGACGTCGAACGTGCTGGGTGACCTGTGTCACCACCAGCAGGAGAATGCAGCAGACATTTGGCAGAGGAGCTTTCTTGTGGAGCTAGAAATTAATGTTTTAATACAGCTAACGCACAAAATGCACCCTAGGATAAATCTGTGACATGCCAGTAGCTCTCAAGCTTCTCTGCTTCTGGTCTCAGTTCTGATGCAGTTCCCCTCCCACTGACATTTCCAGACTCGTAACACTTAATGGGAAACCTTTCCAACAATGTGTTTTTCTCCGGCTCCTTCAGTTGTGTTCCTGCATGTTCCTTATATAACTTACCTTGGGAAGTAGGACAAAGTAACCCACAAGAGCCAGATCCTGCTGCCAGCTCAGGAGGTAGCACAGCTCAAGGGCTTGGGGACAAAGTTGACTACGGTGTCACTGTCATGCACCTTTTGTCCCTTGTCTTCTCCCAGAGCATGGAGCCGGTTTGTCTCACCCCATTTGCATGTACCTGTGTTGACCCTGTTGCAGCCCTTCTACAGAGGAGACATGTCAGRATAAAGATCATTCTAGAGCTGCCCAGAAACAGCTTGTCAAAACATCAATTATTGACTAGCACAGCCTTGCTTTGCAGTTAAGCTCTCTTCCCTGCAATGGCACGTCACCCAGCACTTGCAGTCAAAGCACACTAAAAAAGAACAGTATTTTATGTGCTCATTTTATTTCTTTATGGATACACTGTCCATATGCTCCAGTTGCTTTGAGGATAAATTGGAGATAACAAAATTCATGTTCAAACATAACCAATACACAGCAGTGAAACTCAGGATATTCTACTAGTAGTACACCAGAAACCTTAATAATTCAATTCCCTTTTCACTTCTAACAGTTCTCCCCTATATTTACATATATGGGGCCACAGATGATTTCATTTCGTGAGCATAAGTAGTGCAGGAAAGTTATTCAGACACTGATGACATTGATGGTCTTTCACTGCAAAGAACAAAAGAAAATATGTAAGTGATGTGAATCTTAGAACATTTTCCTTTGGAAATGCATGAGCTGTCCCAGCATTTTCATTTAGTCATTGGCAGAAAGCACCGGTCTGAGCTTTTAAGTCATTTATTAATTATTTCTGCACATGGTAAATCTAACCCAGTCACTCTAGAAAAATAATATTGATGGAAACTAAAACATATTTCCACTGAGAGAAAGGGGAACACTGGAGCTGCGTCTTTGCGAAGTTAAGATGTAGAAGCAGGTAGCACATGCACGCAGGCTTCTGCTGAGCTGCTCAGGATGAGGCAGAGCAGAGGGTGAAGCGGAGGGGTGGCCTGGGAGGACTGCTCCTCATGTTCGTGCTGCGTCTTTTTTTTTYCCAGAGAAATGCATCCCAACAGAGAGAACTCAGGAAAACTGCGTGAGAATGATCACTTCTGCTCCAAGATGCTCTCCCAGCTTCCAGCAAAAAGCAATTAAGCTCTTTCTAAATCATCATTTTAAATAGGCACTGAAGGACGTATCTCTGGTGAATACGCCTAATCCTCTCTGAAAACATTTCTATTTTGGGCACCTCGATTTGAAAATAATGTCGCAATTCAATTATTAATTTTGCACATGCCAGTTTTGAGGCGTTGTTGTTTGGCCGGACTCGGGTTGCGGAGGGAGCCGTGACTCCCCGGCTGCCGCTCGCCCCGCGCGCCCAGGGGCCCCGCTCCTCGCCCCGCGCGCCCAGGGGCCCCGCTCCTCGCCCCGCGCGCCCAGGGGCCCCGCTCTTCGCCATTCACCTTGTCAGAGCTGCTGCAGCCTCCC